CTCGTGCCAGTATTTCCTGTAACGACCTGTTCATGCTTTGCAGGTTTATAGTTTATGGCATTCCGTGGTACAAATCCAACAACCCGGTGTTCGGACAACATTGGTAGGATTTAATAGTGCAAGCCCGACCAAATTACAAAATCGGAGCACCTTTAAGAAGTGACCTGCGGCAGAAAAAAGCAAGGATGAACCAATCAAAATCTCCTACACCCCTTCGCAAGACTCCTGGTGGGCAACCCTTGAGTCTGACGTTGGTGTCATGCCAAAAACATCTGGGTCACTCAGGCTTTTAACAAACCTCTGCTCAAGAGCCGGTTGTAATCTTGGGGAGTTGTCCTAAGCCCCAAAAACACTTGGACCATCGGTTCCAGGGAGTCCCTTTTGAGAAACAGAACGAACAAAAAGTTGTTTCAAACTATATAAAGCTACACAGCTACACTTCTAGCCATCTTCACCTGCAGCAGGTTGCTTCTAAGGAGCAAGTATGATCAAGGACACTGGGTGCGGGTCACAAGGATGATTTGATCTGAACCATCTAACGAAATGGGTCTCCACATTGCAGAAAAGAAACTAATTATTAATGATGTGTGTACCCAGCAACCAGTCTGATCAATCTGGAACCCAGATCTTTACGACCATGCACTATTATCGAGATGATCTATTCTTAGTTCCACCAATGCTCTTCACCTGCGAGAACGACGCGAAACCACCACGACGCTGCGCCTGAAAGAGCTCGGTGCGTTGCATCTGGAGCTCCTTGGCGCCGGCGTTCAGCGCTGCCTCCCCCAGGCGGCCGTCCAGCTGGAAGCGCACCTGGCGGAGTCGAAACATGCGGAGACAGCGCACCGGTGGGCACCCCATGTGGTTGAAAACCGAACCTTTAGAGGAACCGCCGACAGGGGAGACTTTTTTTGACTCGAATCTTTGTTCCAAAGAATAAATGTTGATCGCATGGCAAGCACTGATCAATGAATGCCTGCACGCATGCATGGATGGATGAATCCCCATGGCGCGGCTGTAGCCCAACCGAAAGGTTAGCATGGCTTGCCGCCCAAGAACACATGACACACGGTGACTTGTTGTCCCAAGCACATGCTATCGCCTAAGGGTGGGAAGTGCTGCTGCACATCGCCCTACAATCCGAAACAGAGACGCAGCCCTATGCAGGACTAGCCGGCAGCCCTGGGCACTCCAAGGAGAGCTGAAGATGGTGATCGACTCACCCCACCACTCTCCGGTGGTTCAGAAGACCCGACTCAGGGGATTCCGCGAAGATCTTCAGCGGTTTCCAAGCGCCAGGCCATACAGAAGATGTTTTGTTTTTTAAAAAATGTATGAAACTGCCTGATCAACATGTTTTCTGGATTTCAAGCTATCATGTGTTGCATTCGTCTCATGCCGGCCATACATCATATGTTATAGATACTCTTATATATATAATATACGGAGAGAGGGAGAATGTTTATATATAGTGTGTATATATATATAGATATAGTGTGTATATATATATAGATATAGTGTGTATATATATACAGTATATATATATATGATACCCCCCCTCCAATACACACCCTTTGTGTGTTCTATACTGTAAATTACAATGTGTTAGTGCTATTTTGGGCTCATCTTTTTGAGTGATACTTTGAGACCTTTTTTCACATGATTGTTTGGAACACTTTCTGGAGGGGTGGTACCATGTTTGGGGGTGATAATCTATCAGTTAATTGAAAGGGGAGTACCATATATATATATATATGTCCTCAGGTGAAGATTATATCTGAGAACAAGAAGCAAACAAGAACATTATTAAAACATCTGCAGAAATCTTGAGACCCTCCGGACGGGGGGTTCTCCGAGAAGTTCATGTCTCCGAGAGATTCTGTCAAGTTTTCGATGTCACTGGATGTTCGCGGGGGTGGGGGTGGGGGGGGGTGACAGGAAGTGCAATGCAGTGGATTTCCCTTGAAAGGAACACGGTCTCGAGAGAGGTCCAATCGCACGATGCTCGGACACGAGTCGAATGCAGTCGGGCTGTGAAAGCAAGCGGTTTTTCTCAGTCTTGAGCCAAATGTATCAGTCATGTATGTACATCAAGTGTGAGACCATACAGAGGTTAGTTCTAGGAGAAAGGAAACACAGGGGGTGGGGGGGGTGTATTAGCACACGAACATGGTTTGATGTTGTTTTTTCATGTTAAGTTGATGTTCATTTGCACACGCGTTTGATGTTTTGTTTTGATGCCATTGAACATAGGAATCTCTTGGCTGTGCACCGCTTGAACAAAAAGCCTGGCTTGGAGAGTGTCATGGAAGCGTTGGGACTCTTCAGGCAAAAGGCGTCGCAAGGGCTGGTAAGTCCAGCTACTTGCTTCCAGAAGTCTCTGTGGAAGTTGTGAGAAAAGGAGTTTGACATGGAGGATTGGGTGTGGAAAAACATAGTTTTCCAAGTCAAAAACCTGGAAACCTGCTCCTCAGGCAGTTTCACTCAGATCGGGTTTTTGGGAAACTAAAAAACATTGCGTGCAAAGTCAACTTGCGCGAACAAAAACGAAATATGTGCGCAATCTTGTACTTTCAAAAGAACCACGAGTCATGGCAAAACAAATGCCGAACCCCAGCAGGTTGAAGGTTCACTGCAGTTGTGACACCTTGAACAAATGATGCAGCTCGGGGAACCCCCCGTCTCCACCGTCTTAAGAAGTCTTAAGAATTCCCTGGAACCAAGAAACCAAGAAACAAGATTGCTCAGAAGTCTTGGGGATAATCTTGGTTCTCGGTTCCAAGAAAACCTTCTCATCAGAACCAAGATTTTGCCCAAGACTTCTGTGCAGTCTTGGTTCTTGGTTTCTTGGTTCCAGGAAAATCTTAAGATTTCTTAAGATTTCTGCAGATTTCGGAAGACTTTCGTCACACCACAGCATTTGCATCCTTTGTTCACAGCTACCAGGGGTCCGGAAGGACATTCTGTACAAATGCAATATTGGATGAATGTAGGACTATAGCCCCATCAGATTATTTTGATAAACACATTGTAGGACTATAGTCCCATCAGAAGATTTTGATGAAAACATTGATACAACAAAACTGCTAGAGATTGACAGGACTAAAGTCTTTACCTGGGCATTTGCACATTAACTTCATACCTGTTTTCAATAGTTGGAAACATTACAGTGATGACATTGACATTAGCAAATTATCTAGTTTTACATTGTTTACAGTGGAAGTGAAGGCATCAAATGCTTTCTCAATAAGAGGTATAACTTGATATATGGAAAGAAAACTATTGCAAGCAAACAATGAAATAACCTTTTGTTTTAAAACTCCTTCATGCATTCATAAAGTCAATTATGACCAGCGTGTTAATGAACTATGGGAAACCGATCCTACTAAAGATTACAAAAAAACTAGGAAACATCACCTGTGGATTGCTATAAAAATCACACAACACCGCACAGAAGAGTTACTGTTTTAACACTTTGAGGGAGGCATGCCATTGCCAGAGTGAGTTTGGAGGAAGGATTTATGCCATACAACAAGAAGTAGAAAAAGAAGAATCAAACATGCAATACCTATTGCATCTTAAACACCACCAATAGAAATATATTAGTCAATGGGCTTAGACTAAAGGGTTGCTACGTCAATATCATAACTATTCAGCAAAAAAAAAAGTAAATGAAGCATTAAAAGAAAAACTTTCAGAAAATGATATTAAGGCCTATTCAGTGAACAGTGATGCCTTCACGATCTATGAAGACGATTTGACTTGAGTGATGGGCAAACCAAATCATTTTATACAATCATATCAGACTGGAATATTGATATGATATGATCAATTGTCATGCACACAAATAGTTCTGTAAGTTTATGTGTTACCCTGTGATATGCACAATTATAAAGCATGCAGGTCAATGTTCCAGTTGCGTAAACCCAATGTTTGTGACTGTCACAAATATAGAATGTTAAATTCCAAATTTGAGTTGTTTAAATGTAATGTCACGGTGTAACAAAAAAACTAACAACTCATATAATCAGTTGTATTCATCAATTATCATACGTGCATTTGCACTGGGTGCAACTGACAGTATGAATTGGAGTGCTCATATAATATTGTTCATTGTCACGTACACAATTTCTTCTGTAAGTTGTTGTCTTTCTTTTTGTGGGGTCTTCACACTTGTGCACCATGAGATTCATACTTTGAATTGCAAGTCCAATGTAGCAAATTATTGAGTCGACAATGTTGAAAATCACATGATCAATTATATCCATTAATTACTATATTTGCAATTGCAACTTGCATTAGATACTACTAACAAAATGAATTGGAATGTATCGCAAAAGGTGTGTATTGGTGGGGGGGGGTAGCATATATATATATATACATGAACGGAAGAGTCAAGCATTCAAACACGCAAGGCCTGGTTCCAAACAACTCATCGGAAGTGGGAGATCAGTTTGGGAGATCCCGGCACTTGTCACACCGGAGAGTCGCGCGCACCGGAGAGTCGTCATGAAGTTGTTTTAGGGGTGGGGATTTCCAGCTGCCGCTTCCTTCCGCAGGTCTCTAGCGGTAAGCCACTGCAAGAAGTGAGATGCACTGGACCCACTGTTTGAGGCGGAAGTTTAGTGAAAGTTGAGAGGTCATCCCTGCAACAGAACTGAATCACAGCATCTTTTAGTGTCAGCTCAAGCGCCGAAGGCCTGGACTTTGTTCCATTCGACTGTTCAGCTCCCCTCGCTTTTGGAGAAGCTGGATCCCACCTACTGGGCCTGTACAAGGAAAATGGCCATATGATGCATGACCAAACAGCGCGACTGGTCTCAAAACGAGCTGCGAGCCATGCGCTACAATAAATGCCCAAGTGGGTATTGTCCAGATACGGGCACGAAAGAGAAATCTCGGGGACCTGAACAAAAGTGGTCTAAAGGGTCAAACAATTGCACCTCATGACTCATGCAGAGGTTCCCAAGTGCCTTTACAATGCTCATGCGAATTACTCATCACTTTACAAACTCAAAGTTGGTGCAAACCCCAACCTCCTTTCTGAGGTCCTCCTCCTTTGGATGTGCTTGTGATCGGTGCATCAACTTGTACCACGCATCTGCGAAGTCTGCGTCGAACTTCGCATAGTCTGAGGCGTATTCTTTGACCTCGGACTAAGAATTCAGAGACCCCGCTGGACTGTCCTGGTCGCCCGCATATGCGCACCAAAAGAATCATGATGCGAACCTGCATAGGAGTCATCATCTATATACGATGTACCGTTAATAACTGGTAACAACGTTGTCACTGTTGTTGGTTATGCTGCTAATTTTGTTGTTGCTTTCTTGTTGTTGTTGTTGTTGCTGTTGTTGTCATAGTGATAGTGTTTGCTGTTGTGGGTGAACTCAAGCAATCCAAATGAATCAATCAAGCAACTTGCAAGGAAGGGCAACAGCAGCCCAAACATTTGTCCCCCACTCAAAGTCAAATAAACCAGACAGTCACGCACCAGTCTCATGTGAGACAGGATGAATGACTGCCAACTGCTGACCCAATCACATATTGTCAACTTTATGACATATATTATATATGATATTATATGTATGTAATAGGTCATCCCAGGATAAACAATGTGTGGCCAAACGAACATGTACAGTGTCGACACTGTCGGCACCCGCCTAAAACATCCTTAGCCTTAAACCAGTTCCAGTTGAAGGAGCTCCTAACGCGGTCTGCTTCCAAGCCCTTGTTGTTCCAAGGAAGCATGGGTTCCCCCCCAAACCACCCCCTACAGTAAGGAAATTGTCCATCACAGTAGACAGTGACGGCCTATATAGAGTGAACAGCCCAATCTTTGCAGCTAACCAAGAACATTCACTGCATGTGATAGCAATATGAGGATATATGAGGGAGGGTATCAGATACTGCAGCCGTGCAGGGATTCTTTCGTCTTTTAGTCGAAGAAAGTAGAAACAGAAAGACCTCCAATAGAACATGGGGTGCATGGGGTAGTATCAAGTATCCAAACAACTAAGCGTTCCAATTACATGTTCTGACAGTCAACACTACAGTCAACACTCAGTCAACACTGTCAAAAGGCTGGCTGGGCCACCACACTTGATGGAGATGATTTAAGAAACAGTTCGAATCATTCCCAACATGTTCACACATATTCTTGAACACAAATTCTTGAACGCCCCTTGTAGTTTGCTGGCCCTGCCTGCATGTTTGCAGCGTTGATTGTGGTGTTGACTGTAGGGTTGATTGTAAAGCGTGTGGTGGGTCCATGCTGTGCACTCTTTGAGGGTTCCTGGAGCGTTTGCAGCCGAAGGTTGGTCGTGTGGATTGTTGCGGCTTCGACGCTGCGACCGAAGATTTGTCTTTGACGCTGCGCACATGACAAATGCAAAAGGCTATAAGCCGATGCACGAAGTAGTGAAATCTCCACGGTTTCTTCGGCTGACGGAAGAAATCCTGCACCACTTTGACACATAACTCACCCACACCTGACAGACCAGCAGCCCCGCACCCCTATTGCCTAGGGCCTAGGGAGAATGTTGTTGGGTCCATGCAGGTAGGTGGTGCAGGATTTCGTCAGTGGGACGGTTTCCATGCAACCATATTTAAGAGGGAACCCGAGAGTTTGAGGGATCATCTTCCGTCAACGGTCGTACATGGGACAAACCAACCTTCATTTTGACACATTCGTGTCAACGGTCGTCCGGAGAGCTGAGAGTCGGGGCAATCCTAACCATCTTCTACCGCCACAGCCACAATCGCAGCATAGGTCTCATCATGCACCAGCGCCAAGTCTGCTGTGAGGCGCATGGTCTTGGCGTATTTGCCTCGGTCGGATTGTCTTGGCGGACATGGAACTGGCGTGCCACCTATGACGCTACGCATTCACCATACTGTCTAATGATGGAAAGGAAAACCTTTCAAGAATGGAAGGTGGATTAAATGGCCTATTTGAAAACGAGAGTTTGTTCGAACATGGCGTGAATTCTCGAACATCCTTCTGGGATGGGGGCACCTTAGCTGCATCATTCAAAAACAACTTGATGTTCAGTGGTAAGTGGTATTTCAGGCTACCTGCCTGGGGTCACTATACGCTTTTGGAGTATGTGTTTTGCCCATCTATTCAGCAGCGAAGAGGATCCACGTTGCCATTGAACTTCAGCATGATCAAAGGATACAGTCAGCAAAATAAAACATTGTAAAAAAAAACGCGAAGAAAATAAAGTTGTGCCTCTAGGCATGCCTCTCCGGAGCACACACCCTTGAGTTTCAGTTGTTGCAAGGGCCAGGTAAGTCTCCACTGTGTGCATGCGTTGGGACCAGGCTCACTGAGCTCACGCCTACGTCTATGAGCAAAGGGGGCGCTAGATGGCCTCCAACCTACTGGCGATGGCCTCCAACCTACTAGCGATGGCCTCTAACCTACTAGCGATGGCCTCCAACAACCTACTAGCGATGGCCTCCAGCAACCTACTAGCGATGGCCTCCAAAAACCTACTAGCTACGATGGCCTCCACCAACCTACTAGCGCTGGCCTCCAACCTACTAGCGATGGCCTCCAACCTACTAGCGATGGCATCCAACCTACTAGCGATGGCCTCACACCTACTCGCGATGGCCTCCAACCTACTAGCGATGGCCTCCAACCTACTAGCGAT